ATGTTGAAATGCAATAATTTTCAAAACGTAACCCCCAAATTTAAAAGTCGTTTCCAAAGTCCTATTTATGTACTTTAATTTTTAAAGAGAGAGCAGGATGTGCCCCCTCCCTTCCCTCCACGCTGCTGCTGCCCCAGTAGAAAAGATGGAGGCCTGGGGAAGTCTGCCAGCCTGTGAGAGCACAGGACCACATCTTCAGGTGGGGGCTGAGATCCACGTCAGCCCCAGAGCCACATCTGAGTCTCCAAGTCCCAGGGAGGGATTCCAGTCCACTTGGGCTAAGAGAGCAGCACAAGGACGGCCTGATTCATCACCAGCTAAGGGCAGAGCAAGGTCATGGCCACAGCCATCAGCTCTCTGGGCTTTGGAGTTTGCAGCCCAGATAATATCCACAGCAGGGGGAATGATCAGCAACTTCATACACTGATGCTTGCACTTCTGTTTATAATTTTATGCTCAAGGTTAATTATGTGTGTCCTTGGCTTTGATCAGAGATATTACCACGTGAGAATGCTGCCTGCACCCATACTGACAAAATAAGGATTCTTAGAAATACCCATAGAATAGAAACACACTTTCATCATTAAGGCAGAATCTTTTACTCAGTAAAAATCTTCTAAATAATGGTGTAGACAGCGCCATCCAACTGAACTTTCTGTGATGATGGGAATGTTCCATATCTGTGCTGTCCAAAGGAGTAGCCCCTAGCCACATGAGTTCTTGAAACATGGCTGGTATGACCTGGACACTAAACTTCCTGTTTAATTTAATTTAAATTTGAATAGTCACATGTGACTGGTGGCTACTATATTGGACAGCATTGGAGAGACAGTAAATAACAGTGTATCCTAATTCTTGAGTAGCTAATTGTGGATGTTAATCTCTGGGAAGAGGTCACCTTGCTTATCATCATTAACATCAGGAATGATTTATGGAGAATATATTAGTACATGACATTATACAAAGGTGGTAGAAAGTAGGTCCTCTGATCTTCTATCATTAGAATTTAATTTTTAAAATACCTGGCTTTCAGGATCAGGGGTAGGGCACTGATTTCTGAATGGTGAGCCTCAAACAGCCACTAACTTTGATTTAACTCATTCCTGATGTCCAAAGCTATGGCCTGACTGAGTCACCAGCAGGCTGTTCGGGACTGTCCAGACAACATGGAATGTCAGGCTACCTAACAGCCATTTGGAAAATCCATTATCTTGGCTGAACAGGGAAGGTGGTCCCAGATCAAGGGTGCTGTGGCATGCTTTTGGAACTGTCAAAACCGACCTATTACAGGGCTTGCTTGCCTCTGAAATCTTTCTGGGGGTGGCCTCCTGTCAAATCCCTGGAAAAAGAAAAGTGGTGGCTGGGAGTACCATAGCATCTCCCAGTGCTTGGGGAAACTTAATAGAGTGTGAGGACAATAAGAGCCTCCATGGAAACGAAGCCCTGTGTTTGATCCCTGCTCTGTGCTGACACTGGGATCCCCACCCTCCTTGGCTGCGACCAAGCTGCCACACGGCCCTGGGAAAGGTAGGCTTAGCCAGAGAGGACCTTTTCCTCCTAAGAGACAGAGCTGAAGCCTTCCCTAAAGGAGTGTGACTGTTTCTGAAGCTAACTATAGCATATTTTGCAAAGGCCAGAGCACCCTGGAATTGCATGGGAGCAAAATGAGTACCTTTTCTGAGTCTCCTAAGGTCAGCTGCAGGCTGAGAGGCATCAACTGGCACAGGGTCCCAGAGGAATGTATTTTCAGGTTTCCCTTTGCCAAAGATTACATGTGCTTACTAATCAATCCCTAGGGAGAAAAAAAAAAGGTTAGTGTTTCTATTACCAAAAGAAGAACTATTTGGCAGAGTAAAAATGGTAATTTCTCCATTAGCTAAAAGGATTATAGCTATTATTTTAAAGTTAGAGTATTTATTATTAAAGAGTACTGTTGGAGTTTGTGTGCTTTCATTTTTATGATTGCTTCCTATAATACAAAGTATACTATTTTTGTGCTAAATAGTCAACAGAATAAAACGTGATTGCAATTTTCCAATTTCAAAAGAGCTGCGCAGATGAATTTGAAAAAATAAAATCATTTGAATTTTTTCTATTACATGACTTAAAATCTCTGGAGACAATAGTTTTAATAATAGATTTGTTAAATGCAGTCTTTCTTTCCATCAGCTCATGTCCTTCTACCACACTTTTAATTTTCTACCTTCAGGGTTCTGCTGTCGAGATGTAGCTTAGCTCTCCCTAGCACTTGGCAGGTTATAGGGCCATTTTCCTTTTTGAAGTATTTTTGTCTCCAGGTCTGTGGAACAGTAGGTGGTCAGGAGTTGGGGGCAGTGAAGTCCACCTGGCTGGAGTGGTCTGAGTTTGAGATATGGAATCCTTCCAGTATGCAGAGCTCATGGTCCCGAACTCTGCTGGGGAGGCTTTCCCTGAGCTAACCACCTCCTCCTGAGCACAGAGCACCCAGCAGAGAAGCACCTCTTTGGTGGTATCGGTATTTTTTTACTTTTGTAGAATGAAAATAGAAGGGAGATGCCAGGGAGATCTGGGTCCTCATCATAACCAGCCCTCTCTAACTATGTAAGATTTTGGTTAATTATAGAATTCTTGCTGCCTAAAACTTAAAGATACATCACTGATATTTTTGCTAAATGTTGACTGCAGCGAATAGCTAAGATATGGCATATTGATTTCTTGTTGTGAAGTGAGCTGTTCAAGCTCCATTTAAGATTTTCATCTTGCATGTAGCCCTGAGCACATCAGAGCACCATAAATTAGTTAAATTGCACATTTATCACAAATGTTATTTTAAGATACTGTGTAAATGTGATGGCTGGAAGATATACAGTAGGACTGCAACAGGCCTGGGCTTAGGTGGGGTGAGGTCGGGGTCATCTACACACCTGTGATTAAAACCTGGCTCTCTTGGGACCATCCCTCCTCCCTGCATCCATTTACAGACCTGATTTGGATGCCCCTTTCCTTCCTGCACTCTCTTTCTCTACCAGCACCAGCCATGAGACAGCTAGTGTGCAACTACTTGAGACTCAGAAGGCAACCTTCGATCTTCCTGTTTTATCTCAGAAAAATCTGGGCCATTCTGGGCTGTGAATGGCAGGCTCTTCCAGGCAGTGGCCCACTCTCCAGCCAGAAGAAGGTTGGGAGACCTCAGGAGTAAATGGCCCTGCATTTCCAAATGGGGTGAGTCTCTGGGCAGCCCTGCCCCCATGTCCATGATGCATGGTACAGGGGACTGTCATTGTGCCAAATTAGGTTTACAGTTATGACAAAGGCCCTTGACTGCCCAGTTACTATGTTTCCCCTGGAGGTAAAATTAATTTCTGGGCCTATTAATGTGAACAGCCATTTCTTGGCTATGACCCTAGGTGCTAAATGAACAATATAACCTGCTACCTACCTTGACTATAAATCCTCACGTCTACACCCAAATTGAAAAGTCCCGAAGACAATCCTGGGGATGGAGTGGGGATATGGGCACTGTCATGTTCCTCTCCCAAATTGTAACGGGGTGGGGTGGTTCCACCATCACTTGCACAGATCCCATCTCCCTTCAAGCCACATGGGCCCTGGTGGTGATGGAAGTGTTGTCAGTTTAATCTGTTAGATGCAGGACTTTGGATTCTAATAAACCGATGCTATATTTAACCTGTGAAAAATTCAAGAGTGGAAATCTGGGCTCCAGGATGTGAAGATGCAGAAGGCTTGGGAGGGAGGATATCTCTGTCCTGAGCCAGGTTCCAGGGGGGAGCTGATCCACCAGAGGAACCTATCGTGTCCCACATCTCCTCCCAGGTGAAGGCCTACAGGACAAAGAACTGCTCGGAAAGGGACTGCAGCCATGGAGGAGATGGGGAAGGGGACAGGCCTGCCTCCCAGATGGGAAAGCCCTTTGGTCTGCCGAAAGGTACAGCCCAATTGTGTGTGTGAACCACAAGACGAAGGCATGGCCAGCACAGCATTCTCTGTTTGCCAAAACTCCTTTTAAATCCTAGTGAGGTTCTCCCTAAACACTCGGAGAGAGATGGATTGCCGAGAGAAAGTAGAGCAGACAGAAATTTTGGACTCATCTTGACAAAAAGGGGCGGGGATGAACGGGAAGAAACGTAGGCGTGTTGCTGAACATCACTGAAAGGGCTTAATTTAAATTTTTAATAAAAGAGTATTTTTTTTTACGTTGAGGTGTTTTATGTATTACATGGATGTAATACATCTCTCATTTGTATAATTCTAGGTTAGGAGCTATGATTCCACATAACTGCAAGAGTAGTTTGAATATAGTAATAAAGGTATTTTACAATTTTACATGATGTTCCCAGCATTTTGTTGGCATGATTTGCCAGAGCTAATAAAAGCTTGTGATTACCATATAAATGCTTTCCCCACTTCTCCCAAGGGTAGTTCAGCCTTCCTCCTCCCCACTGCCACCCTGCACCTCATTACCTGTGGCTGCTTTAGCACAGGAGAGCCTTGGACCCCAGGTCCACCTCTCCAGCATGGCTCTGTTTTCTGTTAATTGAAAACCCCGGATCCACAAGATGCAACTGCCCTGCACTGAGTCTTCCAAAGACCTTTCTTCCCCATCTGCTTCCTGTAGGGCTCAGGGCCCCGACTTCTCCCATCCAGAAGGGAGGCCAAACCCCCATCCCCATATGGGTCACCAGGTGTGACCTCACGTTCTGCTACCAGTATTTTTTTACATCACTTTCCCAGAGAGATTCTAACCTCCTGTGAATATCTTCTTTTCTTTACAATTTTTATTCTCGGGAAAAATTCTGTCCACGTTGCCTCTGAGAGAGTGCTCCTTGCTCTCCAAACGCCAAAGTTCACTAAAACTCCCCTGATTTACGGGCAGCTTCCGACTGCCAGCACCTGGCAGACACAGCAACCAGCTCAGTCATAAACAGATCGCATACAATTTCATTTTAATGTGCTCGTTAGTCGTAGCACATTTCAGACATAATTGTGAACGCAACACAAAATTATAGCAAAAAGACAATTTTAATGCTGCCGTAGAAAAAAGGGTTATATGAAGAGTCACATAATGGTGGTTCATTGTGAACAACAAAACAGGGCACAGAGTGTGTTACAGTGTCTGTGCTGTTTACATGCCAATATTTTATACATAGGTTCTCATATGGTGTCAGCTGTCAGTTACTTCTGCAAATTAACTGCCAAAAATGGAGAAGAACAGAATCACTTGGAGAGCCGGTAACCACGGGTTACCTTTCATAAGCCTAAAGATAAAGCTGCAGTGTGGGATCTTGGGAGAATAATTAGGAAGAACAAAACAGAAAGTTACCAATTGAAATAAAAAGGCATCCAACAATATGGAATAGCAACCAAGAGGGCTTATAAATAAGTGAAAAAGGTTGTATCACAGAATGCCTCATGACTTTTAAGCAAAGTATTACAGTACAAACATTTTAAAGGCTTTATCAATGTTTAGGAAATACAGTACAAGTTCTTTTTTTTGTTGCTGTTCCTTTTTTCTTTTTTTCCTTTTCAAATAGACTTAACCCTTTGAGCACTGAGTTTATTTTGAGTGTTCTTTAATTTCTAATAAATACCTTTAAAAATCATGTGCAAAATAGTTATGATGCTTGCCATGGATGTATTTCCAGGCCTTGTTTATTTAGACTGCTCAAAACAAATGATAATATGATGCTAATAAATATGTATAATTTAAACATGAACCTCTATCAATATAGATGTACTGTATAGCAAAACAAACAATCATACTTTGCTTTCAGATAATGTTTCTGTATACTTTATAAATGCTATCTGTGGTATCTTCTGTATAATTTACAATGTTTGCATGTAAAAAACAAAACCCATAGACTTAAAAAAAAAAAGAAAAAGAAATATACACTATACATAGGCACGGCTTATGCCCAGAGCATAGCAGGTACATAAAACACTGTTGCTATAAATGCAGGAAAAAAGGTCATTTAACCACAATCACATTTTTCATAAGAGAGTCTGAAATCTATACAATATATACATCTATGTTTCAATGTGAAAATAATATTCTTTTAAATTTCAAGGCGTGTTATACCCCTGCAGACCTGCATAAATGGAGGTTCATATTATTAATTATAACTAAGCTGGTAAGGAGTTTAAAAAACAGAGCTTCATACATTATTATTTTATTTATTTTTTACCCAAATTAATGCAAAAGTGCTTCAAAGTACTCAGAGGGCTAAAGATGAAAGGGTGAGAAATGCCAGCACACTTGAGTCTCGTGGAAAAAGTGTGCCTGGTTTCGTTATAGATGCTTAATTAAACTGTCTGTTAATGCATGCAGCTTGAAGCATCGGGGGGGATGCTCACAACTAAATCCCATTTACACAAAGTTCCAAACACTTACCACTGCGTTTTAACCTTCATAGTTTACCAGTAACAACAGCTGATTATGCACCTCTATTAAACACTGTACAGTTATACAAAACAGTCCAGCCCAGAGTGATGTTCTGCAGTTAAAATAGGAACATGTGCCAAGAACAAGACAGAAGGGCCTTAAGGTGCCTGCAACAGTTTCCCTCAAAGCAAATTACAGTAAGTTTTATCAAAAGCAAATGCTACTGCTTCTCTAGCTCAGAAACATACAGAAGGTGGTCTTCTGGGGATTTCCCATGTGTTTTGCTAAGGTGAAGTTTAACTGCATGCTTGCTCGCAAAGGTCCGATTGCAAAGTTTGCACTGGTAGGAGGTCCCCAGATCCTCCTCTGGGGAGGATGTCACCAATTTTTCTGATGGCGACTTGGTTTGTGCTATTTGATTGTTAATCTGTTCGGTGGACAATTTGGACAAGTCCCGTAGCCGGAAGCCCAGGTGTGACTCTAGGTGACTGATGTATGTGGAAGGAGTCCTGATTTGAGATGCACAGTCATTACAAAAGAACACGGGGTGGCCTGTGTCCAAGTTTTTGAGGAACTTTGTTCCACCTGTCCTTCGAAGCTGATACTTCACGTTGGCCAGCCAGTGGCTGATGGTGGTCATGGAAAGCCCCGTGAACCTCGAGATGTGCATGCGCTCCTGGGGGCTCAGGTCTGACATGATGTACTTCCCCTCAGAGGTCTGGCGGAGGCTGGCGGCAAACTGGGCCTGGAGGATCAGCAGGTGCTGGGGGTTCCAGTTTGACTGGCGGCCCTTCCTCTTCTGAGCGGGAGTCGCCTCCTCGGCCTCCTCCAGGGTAGCCCCGTCAATGTCAGACTTCTCGGAGATGCTGGAAGGAGTGGAGGACTTTGATGTGTGGCTCTCTGTCAAGTTCTTCAGCATATCGGATATATCTGACAAGGCATTCTCGCGTAGTGGCGAGTTTGACATGAATGATACGACGGCAGATGTCTTTGCGGTTGTCACTGTGGGTGAGGAGGTTGCCGGGGATGCGGACGTGGGTGACAAAAGCACTGAACCCAAAGAGCAGCCTTTGTCACTCTTTCCTTTCGTCAAGTCTATGGGCTGGTCGTTGCTGACATGGTAGAAATAGCGGTCGAGGTGGTCCACCTTCTTGGACTGTAGGGGCGGAGGGGTGGCCACGGCTGCCTTCTCAGCCAGGCTATTGCTCATCTTGAAAAGCATGCTCATGGGGTCAAGGGCGGGCAGGGAGGGCTTGGCAGCTTTGCCCAGGTGAATGTTCATGACTGACTGGAGGGCACTCAAAGGGTTCACAAAAGGCTGTTCAGGCGGGTGGTCTGTGATTATGGCTGTGCTGCTCAGGCTGCTGGTCATGGGCTTCACCAGCTCCTTGCCATTCTCCGTGGGCTCTGCTGAGGGGCTGCCCTCCTTGCACCCATCCCGCTGGGGGCTGGGGCTGTCCTCCTGGCTTTTGAAGCCCACATCGCTGGATGCCTCCATCTTGATGGGCTCGCTGACCTCACTGCTGCATGGGGAGGGAGTGGCTCGCTTCGGCGGAGAAAGCTTGCCCTCTGGCTCCTTCATTTTCTCTTCAACTTTGGCAACTTTCTCGGTGACTTTTTTCACCAGTTCCTCCATGGCATGAAAGTTTGTCTTGGGCATGGGTGAGGTCTGGCTGCTGGGTGGAGAAATCAGGGTCTGGTTTTTTGTGGGAGACACAATCTCGCTATTGCCAAACACAGGTTTCAGGGGTGTGCTCTTTCCTGATGAGCCCAGAGATAACTTCATCATGTTGGGAAGCTGATAGGCAGCATGGATGCTGGGGTAGCCACCCCAGCTGGGAGTGCCGTTCTGGGCCTTGTTGATTGCAGACGTCACCGTGTTTTCTAGGGATTTCAGGATATCTAGTCCCCCCTTGGGACTCTCTTCCAGGTCATTCTCAGTCAAATAGTGGTACTTGGAAGAGATGTCATACTTTTCCTCTTCCTCACAGGGTTTCTCCTTCTCCTTAGGTTTCTCATCCGTAGCCACTTTCTCCCTGTCAACTTCCTTCTTGACCTCCACGTTGAGTTTTGGGGACACACTCACAGGCGTACTGGAGGGGGACGTGAAGGTGGTGGCAGCCAGGGGCACTGACTGCACCTTCTCGTCCAGCAGCGTTGTGATGGTGGGCGTGACAGGTGTCTCCATGATGGGCTTCCCCTTCTTCATGGCTGAATTCGTGACCTTGATGAAGTGGCCGGTGACCATCATGTGGGCCGTGAGCTCCTGCAATGTGTCGTGGGAGCTGCCGCACTCCATGCACTTCAAGATCTGGGACTTCCGGGCCTCAAAGTGCCACGCATAGCTGGCCCCGTTCTGGTGGCCGTACCGGTTATTTGGCGTGATATAAGGGTTGCAGTTCTTCTGAAGCACATCATTTGAGTCTGACACCGCAGCCTTGGGGGTTCCGCCTGCGGAATCCGGGGAGCTGGGGAGCTCCAGCTCCAGCGAAGCCTTCTTCCGGGTGGCAGGGACGATTTTGGCTGCGACAGGGGTGACAGGCTCCTTCAGAGGCACTTTTTGGTAGTGTTTCGTTTTAATCATGTGGACACTCAGGTCCTGGAGGGACTCGAACGAGTGGCCGCAGTACATGCACTTGAGCACCTTCTGGGCGTCTTCCTTGCCCTCCATTTCCAGCAGGGAGCGCTTGCGTGGCTTGGACCAGCGCCGCGGGTTCTTGTGGTCGGCGTCGTGGTTGTCGTCGCGGTAGTGCCCCGTCTCGTTCATGTGCACCGTGAGCTCCACCAGCGTGTCGTAGGCGGCGCTGCAGTCCTTGCAGCGGAACTTGCTGGCGCCGGTGAAGATGGAGCCGTACAGCCGGCTGCTCTGGCGGTACAGCTGCACCGTGCTGAAGAGGCCGGGCTCGGGCAGCGCGCGGCCGGGCGGTGCCTGCTGCAGGCTGCGGGCCACGGCGCTGCGGTGCCAGTCGGACGAGCTCCCGCTGCTGCTGCTCCCGCTGCTGCTGCCGCCGTCCCCCGACGGCGCCTGGCGCGGGCCGAGTTGCAGGCCGGACCAGTATGAGCTGGACAGGAAGCTGTTGTACACGGCCTTCATCTGCTCCAGGCTGTCCGAGGCGGCTGGGTCCTCCGGCGGCACCACTGCCTCCTTGGCCTCCTCCTCGTTCTTGACGGAGCCACTTTCGAAGTCGGCCATCCGGTCACTGGTCTCGCTGATGTGCGACTCGCTGTCCATGTCGTGGCCCGAAAGCTCGGCGGCCGGGGAGTTCTGGCAGCTGGGGCAGGTCCTGCCGAGCTCCGTCTCGGCGCATGCGTACTTGGCCGCCGGCTCCCCGTCCGCGGCGCCCTCCTCGGCGTCTGCGTCCTCGTCCACCAGGGCGGCGGCCTTCAGCTCGTCGGAAACGTAGGCTGTCGTGAGAACCGCGGGGAAGGTGGGCGGGCGGGTAGGGCGGAAAGGGGAGAGGCAGCGAGGGCGAGAGAGAGAGAAAGAAAAAACAGAATTAGTAAGGGTCCATCTTACCTACGGTTATTTTCTCTTCTCGGAAAATGCAGCCAAGTAGACGGGCACATGTATTTGTAAAATCAAATAGTTAAAATGTAGTGTTTCTTTGGAGCAAAAAAAAAAAATCGGCTCTTCAAACATAATTTGCCACCTTATTCTTCTCAAGGGGCAACAGCTTGAAATTAAAACTAAATTTGAAATTAATGAAGCACATTCTGGAGGTGGCATTCATTTCTAAAGTAATAAATTACTTGTATCAACCTCAGAGACAGCAGTTCCTGTCTGTCAATTAATATGTCTTATGCTTCTCCTACCCCTAATGCATTTCTTAACAGACAGATTCACAATTTAAATTAAGCAAGCATTTCTTACTCATTACATTTTTGAGGCTCAATCTTTAATAAATATAAAGTACAAAAACATCAATAAAATTTTTACAAAGTAAAAAGAAAGTACATCAATTGCAATAAATTAAAAACAAGGTTTTGTCACTTTTTTTTTCTTTCTTCCTTCTGGAGAAACAGGTCTCATAAAAGCTTAGAGTTAAGTTTCCTACCAGGGAGTAGGGGCATGTTTGCTACAGATGGGAGGGAAGACGTAACCCACTACGGTGCAGCACTGGCCCTGTCCCCCATGTGTACAGTCAGCCATCCTCAGCCACCTACACATACACTATCCATGCAGAATTATGTCAGAGCAAGTTCAGGAAAATTGGTATGCAGTGCTCATTCCTGTTGTATAAATATATACAAGACCTTCCAGTGGACCTTACAAATGTCAAAGTGTTTGCTCTTTAGACTACTTTGTCAATATTTACTCAGCATAAGCTTCATGGGCATCCAACAGGGATCCTGTCTTTCTGGAAGCAATGTAACTGGGGATGTAAATCCAGTGTGCACTTCCAAAGCAAGTGGAGGGCAGGGCTGAGCAGCTGTGGGTTCTAGAAGATGCACATCCAGACATGCAAAGCCAGGAAAATACTTGGGTTAATAGAACAAAGTAACTTTTTTCATTCCTTGCTTTCAGTGACTGAAGTTGTCTCTCACCTAAGCTTGCCCAAAGCTGTAAACAGAGGTGGGCTGATCTTGTGGACAATTAGGTGTGGCCAGCCCTGTGGTAAGCAACAATTTTAAGCCAGAGGAGAAGGGGAAACAGAGGCTTCTTCCTGTCAGCAACTCCATACCTTTGGCCTTAAAAGGTCAGTGGGGTAAGTGTGTTAGGTGGCTGGGATACTAACTGCACGGCTGATTAAAAAACAACAATAACAACAAAAGCTCTTAGAAAAGAAAAAGCTTTGCTTGTGGAATTCACTCCTATAACTTTAAAGATTTGCCCCAGATCAATTTCACACCAGGAAAAAAGTGAAATGACTCAAACAAATAAGGCTGCTTTGAAGGCACACAGACGTTCCCACCCCCAGCCTCTTCCATCCAGGTTCAGTGTGATTCTTTTCCCTTCCCAGATCCCCCTTTGAGTGCCAGGATTTCTAAGCTGAGGCAACAGTGGTATCCCAATTGTGAGGGGATTCGAACTTGGATAGGATAGTGTCCCCGGACTTGGATAGGATAGTATCCCCGTTGCACACATGCCATTCCTACCAGCTGTAGAGGCAGGGGGACTTCTGCTCATGTACAAACAATGAAGGTAGCTCTGTGTGCCCTGCTCTAGTTGGCTGAGGTGTGAAGTACTGTGGTGAACCTTTAGTTCGAGGCCATATACTTAGAAATGGCAAGTTGAAATGACAAACAAGCTCTCTTCCTAGGGCCAGGGCCAAAATGACTAGGGAAATACTGTGCTGGCCAAGGGAGGCTCCTTTGCTGGCTGGAGAGAAGAAGGTGAATGCATTTGTTGGAAAAGGAACAGGAAAAGAAAAATAAAAGAAGGTATCTCTCTCTCCCCCACAGGCTTCCCCAGCTTGCAGCACACCCTTAAAATCTGGCTCATAAACTCCAACGGGGCTGGCAGGTATGGAGGGAGGGCAGCCAAGGAGTGGGAGGGGTGGAAGGGTGACCAAGAATCCCAGTTTGCCTGAAATGGACCTTGTTTTAGCATTGGAAGTCCTGCACCCAAGGAATCCTCTCAGTCCAGGCAAACCAGGTCAACTGGTTGCCCTCGACAGGGGATGCACAGCATGGCCCAGTCAGAGCATGCAGGCAGCTGTGCATCCTGCAGAGAGGAGCTAGAGCTGGGTGATCTGGGTTTGAGTAGAAGTAGCCCACTCATTGTCCATAGAAAGGCCCTGGCTGCCCATTTGGTTTCCATCAAAGGGGCTTCCCTTTGAACATTGAGTCTGGCAAAGAGAGAAGGAAACCACAGTGGCTTATGCCCCTATGGCTGAGATGCAAGGAAAAGCCCTGCCCGCTGTAAAGAGAGAGAGGTCCCAGAGCCCCTTCTCTCATGGAGATGGCCCTCTGAGCCACAATCTGCAGTGTGAATCCACACCAGGGGCACTTTGCTTGCATTACAGCTCCCATGGAATTAAGTCTGGGAGAGGCAGCAATACAGAAATGGTCCCTCTGAAGCCTTTATGGGAGGGCACCAGGCAGCCAGATGAAGCCAGGACCAATGGTGGACAGGGAAAAGCCCACTGGCACGAAGGCTATGAGCTAAGGGAAACCCTAGTAGCTTTGTCAAGGCCTCCTCCCATCTTGGAGTGGCATGGCTCCCCAGAGCACAGGGCCCCTCCATGGAAGTCTCAACATGGTGTGGGGTACCCAGTAAGCTGTCTGGAGAATCCCCACCCTACACAAACCATCACTGATTTGATTGGCTCCCATCCAACACTGGCCCCCAACTTACTCCAATATGCTTAGTAAGTTTCACAGCAATGTCAGAATGTCATCAGTCTGATGACTGAGGAGGATTTTAATATTGAAAGAAAATAAGGCCAACTTTCTTAGTGGGAACAAAATCCCACACTGAGGAAAATTAAAAAGCTTCAGTACCAAGAGGCCCTGAGTTCTGGGGAGCCCTGGCATCACCTCCACCCACCACCATTTCTGGGACTCCACACAAGCACACTTGCCCACTGCCATGACAGAGACCTCACTACCTATTAAAATAGACATTTTCTTTTCAGACCCGGTGGTGGAGAGTATTACCTTAGGTTGAGCCTAAGACTTCTACCTACTGGTTCTTTCTTCCCTCCACATTAAAACAGAGAGCAAAGGACTAATCCTTCTGCTATGCTTTGCAATAGTTGTGCTCCTTCCAAGAATACTACATCCACTCTCGGTTACTCAACTTCAAAAGTTGTGAGAAAGTGGAAACAGTTCCAGAGAGATGGCAGAGGGCATTAAGGGATGGGAAGTTTCATTCATTCCTCAAATTTTTACTGAGGGCCTACACATGCCAGCTGAGCTGCTTTACTGAGCAGTGTGCCCTTTTCTTTCTCCAGCCTCAGTTTTCCCATCTGTACTAGGCAGGGCATTGGGTCTGTAAGGGCCTCCTCTCTACTTCTCTATTTTATGGCTCCTGAGGAAAGGGGAAAGTGACATGGAAACATGCTTGCTCTGGTTCGTTCCCTCCAAGAACTGCTCCTCATGAGCACTCAGAAGTCAAGGCACTTCTTAGTCCTCTCTTCTCTAGACTAATGAGCAAAGTCCCTGGCTGGATAGAAGGAAGAACTTCTGGATACTGTGACAGTTAATGTCCTGGATCAGGCCAGGAGGGGAAGGCAGCCAGTGTCTCCAGTCCCTGTCAGAGCAGACAGCATGAGGCCTACAGGGGAGGTGGGCTGGGAGAGAAGCTGCTGCCACTGCACTGGGCTTTAGTGGGCTCTCCTCCTGGAGCACCAATGGGGGGCACTGGCTTGGGCCTGACAGCTAATCACACACCACCTTGGGAAGCTTTGCTGCTGTGAACAGTTATCTGAATCCTTGCTGCTATCTAACTTTCCATATGTTCTTGTCTGAATTCTCCAAGGTTAAGGGTCCATTTTATATTCTCAGTCTTTCACATAGTAGGTGAGCAACAGGTACTTGCTGTCTCTTTTGGAAAGATGCTCGTTACCAGCCTTGTTACCATAACAGGACCTACCCTCCCTCCCAAGGCCCTTCCAACAACAGCCTGGATGGCCACCAGGACCCCTCACCTCCTCCACGAGTATCCACCTACACCCCAGCCTTTCCACCTGTTCTCCACACAGAAGCCACCAGATCACTATCGGTCAGCAGGCAGGTCATGTCAACCTCTGGGGGAACACCCTCTGTGACTTGCCATTGGGCTTGGAAGAAAATGCAGATTCCTCAAAATAACCAATCTACCCTTCACTGGGCTGCAGGTGAAAGGTAACACTGTTGGGGGGAGCTTCTCTGACCCCAGTTTTTGTCCTTCTGGCATCTTCTTCCTTCCTTCTTCACACCACTGAAATTAATTGCTTTAGCCACACATCTCAGGATGCTCTAACAGCTGTCAGCTTGCTGTGGTCAGGACCAGCCCCACTCCCCACATATCTGCTACATCCCTACTATCTAGCTCAGAGTTGCCACTCCACAGACCCATGGAGTGAATGCTTACATGACATACATGACTTCCCCATGCTTCCTAAAGAGTTGCCAAAACATCTAGATGGATTCAGACTCCAGCCAGTCCCAGAGCAAAGCAGATGTGCTGGGGTCTGATCCAAAGCCCTTCCTGGATCAGGGATGAGTGTGATCAGCATTTTCAGCAGCGCTAGTTCATGAGCAAGGGCCTCGGGGGTGGATGGGATGACAGAATCCACTGCTGAGGAAGAGGGGAGAAAGCATCCCAGATGAGGGTTTCCTTGCCCTGGAGCCACCTGGCTGTGCCCACACCCAAACTACCCCTCTCCAAAACTGCATTGTCTTCACTCTTTTCTCTTGAACAAATACAATTGAAACCTTTGCTGCCAGCTTCAGAAGATGAGACAGCTGAACTGTAAGGG